ACAGATCTAAATTTTAACTTTTCTGAAAAAAACCTAACAAGATGAGGCATAGGGATTAAAACTCCCTTCTTGCACTTGAGAAAATGAAGCTCTCTTTCAAGCTGATTTCACAAGAAATAGTTTTCAGGAGCTTTTTTGCCGTGTTTAATAACTGCTGATAAACAGCTGTGCTGATACAGCATTGAAAAGTTCAGAAGCTTCTAAAGCGCTCCTTAGTACAACTGCACAAGCTTCAGTGGAATTCAGTGGTTGAGTTGGCCCGAACTGTTTTGTTATTTAGTCTTACAAGAGAGGTATATTTAATATTTTTCTATTTTCTGTTTTTAATTACTGCAAGAATGGGATGTAGTAACCCAGTGAGATGTTCTGCTCATGGTTTAGCACAGGCATCCTCCAAGTACGTGTTCCAGGGTCTGAAAGGTGTGCTCCTTCCTCCATGGAGCGTGTCCACAGGCAGCCAGGTTTTAAAGCTGAACAACTACATCTAGCTGATGCGAGTGACGACATTACTGCTCCTTTTGCTCACTGCTATCCACCACGAGGCATTACTGGCCCCACAGCTGTATCAGTAGGAAGGATCACTTGAGTTTTCCCTTTTCCTTTCAGGCAAACCCACTTTGTTCAGCTGAAATCACTCTTCATGGGATATTTAAACAAACCCACCTGGCTCCGCTGGAAGTGCATTAGGCATAATCCCTCCAGCCACCTGAGAGGTGGAGCAGGGATCTCCTGCAAAGGACTGGTAATTAATCAACTAGCACAGCTATCTGAAACGAGCATGTGTGTTCCCAGAAGGGTTTCGTGTGGAAAACTCTAAGTTCAGAGGAAAGATGAACCTTAAAAGCACATTACTTCCACGGAGCAAACGCTGTGTTTTTGTGTAAGCATCCTTCTCAATTAAATCAGTGACGCAATTTATAGCCAAAGTGACCTCTATATAATGGTTTGTTTATTGAAAAAGATTCTGCTTGGTTATTAGGAGCTCATTAAACTGAACTGCTGAAGGAAAAGACATTGATTTAGGCTTCCGTGAGTAATGGTGTACCGTCCATTTCCTGTCCTCTCAAGTTCTGTATTTACTTCTTTTTCTATGTGTTTCTTTCATAAGAGACATCATTTAGCGAAAATATTTGATTTCATACCTAAAGCTTTCCTTAACTAGGCAAATATATGACCTGATTTCAGGAAAAACACTTACTACCACTTAATCAGACATAAGCATGTACTTAAGAGCACTCTATTTGAAATACCTACTTTTCTTATCAGAGCAATTGTTTGAATTTCTGTACATTTCCAATCCAAGAGGACAGCTGAAGAGATAAGGGACAGAACTGAGGGGACCACAGCTTGAGGACTGAAGGTGATAGACAAATGCTGTAGCCGACACCATTAAAAGATACAAGCAAAACAAGATTTACATGGCGAGATAATATACTTCATTAAACGACCCAGTTTAATTGGAGATAATCAGGCAAGTTTTGGCATCTAAGCCCTTGTTCAAGTCACCTGAAAAAAGTCCTGAGGATGTAACCAGAATAGGACTCTGCCTGAAAGCTTCCCCGTTCTTTTTCCAACCATGTCAATTAATCTAAAAAAAGACTTTTTGTACAAATTTTGCTTTGATGCTATGGGAAAGGAAATGGAATGATCTGCAGACAGAAAACAGAGGAGAGAATAACCCAGGATCACCCCAGAGCCAGCAGAAAGCAAGTCTTTATAATTGTAGACCAAGAAAAATTGGTGGGTTTCTCATACGCAGTCCCAGGAGTTTATGCTGGCCACCAAGGGAAGCAGATCATCAGCCTAGGCACAACGCTAACCCTTGGGCTCCTGGATGCTCTGGGATGGGATTCTTGCTTTCAGATGTAGCACAGGCACTTCAGGATAGGAATTGTAGCTGAGGATTTCTGTGTAGGTGACAAAGGCAGTCACACAGATATCCAAATCCTGAAAATCCTTCACTAATGAAATTCTTTGTCACAGCATCTCACAAGTGCTAAACCCTGCAGCAGTTTGAAAGTGTTTCCTTAGTAATTATAGTTACAGGGCAAACTAACACAAGAAACTGTATAATCCTTCTAGGAAACATCGATTTCCTCTTCTCGCCTCTCTTTCCCCATTTCCACTCTTTTTGTTCCAGGACCTGCCTCTTTAGAAGATTATTGTGATCTTTTGGTCAGCCTGCCCTGACTTGGTATGCTGCAGTCTTAACAGCCCTCCTGGGCAAGCAGAGACAGTTAGTGCACAACTGAACAATGAGGGAAGTATATCCCAGTTTCGTACTTGGCCAACCTCTAGTCACCCCCTTTTCTGCACTGATTAATAAACAACCCTTCCCACAGCTTCTCCCCTCTCTGAATCAGCAACTGCCTGCTCATATCTTCCTCTTCTATTAGCATAGCTTTTAAACTACTCAGAATTAGTTTGGGTTTAGGTTTAAGCCTTTGGCAAATTAGCTGTAGTCTGACGAAGACAACATGGTTGTCTGGTCCCAATTAAGATCTCATGTCAAGTGCTCCTGATGCTCTCCTTAGATAACATGCATAAGCAAATCACTGTCATTTTCCCCTTCCTGTTTTCTGCTGGTGTTCTGTATATATACTAATAATACTCTGTTTGCTAAATTAGGAAACTCATATTATTTAGCGTGTACCTTTCTTCTCCATGGATTGCTCTCCATGACAGAGATTTGTTGTTGGAATGTTCCCAGTTCTGCCCTTGAATACACTGCGGCTGTGACGCTGCTGGTGAGCTACTGAAAACATCAGCTTTCTACTGCCAAATGGAAATTGCTGTCCACTGTCAGACAAGAGAGATAATGAGTAACAGACAAGCAACAGAAACATTAATGGTTTGGTTTTTACCTCTTATGCAGACCCTCTGGTTTTAGCTATCTTGTTAAAACTAGTATTATCCTTAAAAATTAAATTTTTAATCTGTTTAGAACACTTTGTTCCTGGGAAAGCATGAATGAGGGGGATTAAATTATATTTGTACTATACTTTTCTTGGTGATTGGTAATTATCTTGTCACTCATGATGCTATTCATTGCACTTAGCTGCATGGAACTGGGGAAAAACATGACATTTCCCCCTGTACTAGACATAATGAGAATCTATGGCTTTTCACAGAATCATGCATTGCTGAGGTATGGGAGTAAACAAAACGTGGGAAAGTTGTATTTGGAACAAAGGATTTTTTTCTTCAAGCCATACTATAAAATATTTATGTATTGGGAAATATAAACGGGGAGCTAACAGGTGGAATGCCCAATTCAAGTGAATGGCACTTACTTTGTATCTGTTGCTTTTTCAACCAACCTGTCACCCAGCAAAGCATTGGTTTTAAAAAAGGCCCCATACAAATTCCGGCTAGTAACTCGGGCCCTTAGAAGAAGAGAACAACCATTTTTCAGCTTTCGGATGAACAATCTAAGGCATCTTTACAAGGGCACAGATTTAAAAAAATGTGCGCAGTAACCATCCTCTGGTAACAACACACCTGTCAGCAAACAGCCTTTGTACGTGCTTCCCGAACGCACGGACGTACGCCCTTCTGCCTATCCATCTTTCTGAAACAGTAAGCATCTAACTGTGTAGTGGTTGGTACGCCCGTCTTGGGATGAACATACTTCTTTTGGACCCAACTTCACTGCCATCAAGTGCATTTTCCTAATTCTTGATTGGAATCTGTATGGCGTATTGAAAAGCTCTGAGGCAAAAGGTGCTGTCCAAATGCAGTGCTTTTATTAAAACAAAAACCAAAACAAACAAAATGCGTTTTTTTGGCAGAGTGGCATACTGAAGGAAAGGCATCATTAATATGTTCCTAAAAGTTTTAAGTTGGAAACTGCTGTGTTATTTCAAAAGTTCTCATTTCCACAAATCATAAATTGACTTCGTTTGTTGTAGAATTTGACAAATGAACATAATTAGTTAAATCTGGAGAGGACTAAGTCAGTCCGCAAAGAGTCAGAGTAACTATTTATGTTCCCAGTAGGCTTGTTTGCATCCAAGCTAAAGTTCTTTGCAACCAAAGCGGTTCTACAAAACATTTTGGCCTCAGTGAACCATATCTCCTGCAACGTATGCTAACGTATGTTCACACCAGTATCACAGCGTAAGTTAACACTGCATGAAGCCTTTGCTTCCACTTTTAATAAACGTCAGTTGCCACAAACATAGCACTTTGCAGACTAGCTGTGCAGAGCTTTCAACAGTGTCCTGTTTTTTGATAGTAACTGGTACATATGAAACGTTTTTGGGAGGTTATTTTTTCCTGTTGTCAGGGTCACCGTGACTTGTATCTAAAAAAAAATATCCCCCTGGTAACAGTCTTTTTCCTTCCCTTTTGTGTTGGAAAATTAAAACTCAGGAGACTGTATTATACAAGCATATAACTTTGTTGTTTTAATCTTTATTGACTGATGTAAAGTCAGCACGCGTGGGGCAAAAAGATCAACACAGGAAAGTACTTACATTTTTAAGAATGCAAAAGGAACAGAGAGAAAACTGAGACAACTCAGAACAGATGCTGCAAAAATTATCTTTTTTATCAGTTAAATGTAAATTGCCACGGAAAATTCAAGAGGTGTTCATAGCTGATATTCTAAGCGTTTTTCTCTTACCAAAGAGGTTTCATTAATCAAAAGCAAGCAAAATCAAGGTTTAATCTTCTCTTAGAAAACTGGGTGCTGTTACACTCCCCTGGGTGATTTCTCTTGTTATGCTTTCAAACTTGATTACCTTTTCTTCTACACCAGTATGTCTCAAAGATTGTTATAAACGTTATGTACCATTCCAGTTAAACTCAGGAGTTTTGACACTTTCTCAATGTTGGACATTTTGAATTAGGAGATACTCAAAACCTTTGTTTAGGTAGAGAGGTTCTGACGCATTCTAACGCCTTTCATTACTCGTGGAGTTGTTAGCTGCCATGGATTGTCAAGATCAATACAAGGTCTCATGCAACCTTAGTTATTCCTTAGAGCTACCTCTTTCATGCTGCTGACCACCTTCGTATTTCCACTGCAGGGTGTGTATTCAGAGTGTGGGGTGTGTTTTTTGGAATCATTCACTACGGAGGTATTGTACTACCAAGCAGGATTTTATCTCAATAATTTAATATGTATTTGGACTCAATAAGACTTCATGATTTAAAATGCCTGCCCTTACACAGAAGTACAGAAAGCCTCATTTATTGTGCCAGGACAGATTTTTCATACACTTCAAATTTGTACTGGATGCCATTCTCTTCTTGGATATCAGCAGGGACACCTGGGTATCTGGAGAGAGAGGAGAAGAAAAAGCAAAGCCAACAAGTAGATAAAAATATCATTATGAGTCACCTGTAATTTATCCACTCAATTAGAAAAGAGAGTTGTTTGAAAAAGGAGATTAAAATACCATCCTTACCACAGGTATACTAAGTACAAACTATTTTTAGGAATCATGTTAACTACTACCAGCAACTTGAATGCACATCTTTTTAAATCAAGAAAGCATACTCTGATGTAAAAAAACCCCACCTTTTTGGCTTAATCAAAAAAACCCAACATTTTTATTAAAGCCTCCAACACTTTATTTAAAATGTCCGCAAAGGCAGAAAAGATACAGAACAGTTTTGGGTTTTTTTTGCTTTGCTTTTCCTCAGATGGTTTAGAGGAAATGCTAAGGTAAACGTTTCTTACAAGTCTATGACAGCTTCTTAAAGCAGCCGACTGCTACCAGGCAAAGTGTTCCTCTATATTCCAGATTTACTAAAACAGTTTTTATTAAGAGACACTTTCAAAATTCTCTTCAGCTCCCTGTGACTTAATAAGGATTTTGTACAAGTAATGTTGACTTCAAGGGGAAAAGAAATTTTAAATCTTATTCACTAGGTTTGACTCTATAAGGTTTCCACTTTAGTGAGGCAATTATCTGCTATTTTGTAAATTCATGCTTTGAGGCCAAATTCTGATTTCAGTACACTGGCCAAAACCAATGTATACCTAAGAAACAATCAAGAGGGAGAGAGGGAGCTTTGGATTTGACATCAGGATACTAAAGTGGGCTCACAATATGGCACAGAGCAGTTCAGAACATGCTAGAGTTGAAAAAGGTGACTTATCCTCCCCACTCACCTTGTTTGTCTCTCCCGCATCTTTCTTTCCTGCCCCTACCTGTTCTCCCCCACTTCAGTGCTAATCCATTCCTGTGCCCCATGCAGAGAGCTTGACTTGCCATGTTTTCTGTTTCTTCCACTGCTGGTCAGTAACCAGCTGGGAACCAAAACAAGAGTAGCAGGAAGAGGAAGGAAGAGGTCCTTTCCTTGCTGATTCTTGAAGCAGGTATTTGAATTTTTGCCACCTCCCTAATGCTTGTTGGATGTAATCTCATTGGAGAGGACATAAAAGTATGACTGGAATATGACACGGATAACATAGAAGAAACCATAGTGAATGGCAGAAATAATACGTGATCCTACTAAGTTTGTTATGAAGAAGTAATTTTCTCAAGAGAAAGGAATAACCTTAGAAATCTATAAAGGCTCAGCCCTCCCTGGGAGAGTTACGAAGCTGAGTAAATACTTGAGTAACTCTAAAGTGAGAAACAATAAGAAAGTTACTTTTCAAGCAAACCGACAAATGCAATTCTTTACTGTAAAGATTATGGGAAGATTGAAGAAAATAGCAAGTTCCAACAACCTTTCTGTGCCGAGTGTGGTGCAATTCCAGGTTCTAAGTAAAATACGACTCTGGAGAAAAAATACCGTGAAAAGTACCTCTTAACTCAAAACAGAACATGGCCTTAATAGGACCCTTACACATTCAAATTAGATTATTAAGTCTTCCATCTGAACACAAGACTAGTGTGCATCTTGATACTTACTCAGTGAGAAGTTTGTAGTCTTTGTAGTCAATTTCTGGAAAAAATGTGTCGCTTTCAAATTCCTGCAAAATTCTTGTTACAAACAATCGATGATTAATTGGCTTCTCCATCGCTGCCTTTCGAAACAATAGAAACAATTAAAATTGAGTTGCTCCCTGTAAAACAGCTCAACCATGCATGAAGTAGTGTTGTCTATTAAAATTTTTAATATTCTCGTTTTATAACACTATTTGAAGTCTGTAAGATAACATAAATTCTTATTTGGAACACTAGCTTTCTTTACCAGCTCTCCAAATTCTTCTGCCTGTACCAGCCATCACCATGGCAGCATTCAAAAAGAACCAAGAGACAAGAGTCTTAGTATATTTTCTACGTGTAGATTGCACACCAAATATGTTATCTAAAACTGAAACTCAGTTACTATTTTATATATTACGGGATTTAAGCAAAGCAATGAAAATAGAACTATAAATCTCCTCTTTTGGACTTGGCCCAAGAGCACTTTCTAAAGGGATAATTTCATCTTGTGCCAGTTCCACCTGGTAAGTGGCAGCAATACCTATTCTCAGAGCTTGGGGCGTCTGACAGAAATTAAGAAAAAATTATGAGTAGTCCTGTGAGAAGAAAGGAGCAGTATGGCCTAGTCTCAACAAGCAATTTCTGAATCATACCTCTTTGAAAGACAGGAAGCTTTAAGTGGTGGGAGAGGCCCACACCTCCAGGTAACTTCTTCCAATGTTTAATTAATATCACTACTAAGGATTTAGAATGTATTTTTATTCTGCATTAGTTTTCAATTCCAGTGATCAAATTATCTATCAGTTTAACTTCAAAGTTTGATCTCTGGATTATTCCAAAGTGATAATATGCATTGAAAATTACATAAGAACAACAACAAAGAAAGTTTCCAAGCTCCCTGGATGAAAAAACTTATGAAGACACCTGTTAGGCGAGTTCCTCACTAACAAATGCACATAAACTCAGGAGCTAAAAAAAGACGTTTTGTTTCCAGATCAGACTGAAAAGTCACCTCTTCCAGACTTTCTCCGCACTAAAATAACCCATTAAAAGCTATACTGGTGCCTGGATACAATATATTTTTTAAAATCTTAAAGCTGTTTCTCCCTTTCCTTTAAATTGGCAGTGAGCAATGCTCTTTGTTAAAGGTGATTCACCATGCAGCATGCTATTAGGTACTACTTTGACAAGTACAGGAACCAAGTAATAGCAAATTTAATCCAATAAAATTAATTGGTATCACTGCTGAAGAGTTAGTTTCTAGAAAAGTTGCTCTATTACTAGTGAATGGCTTAAAATGGAAGGGGTAAGTCACAGCACACCAGCATCCAACAGCACTGAACTGCTGTTCATCTAGTTTGTATATAAATATCATGTTTTTTCTTTCTTTAAAGAAGGGTAGGAGGTAAGAGGAGAAACACACACCTGCAGAATGACAGAAGAATAGTCTGCTTCACAAAAGAAAACATACCGTATTCTGTAAACAGAGATACTTTTGTTTTGTAGTAGAGGAATAAATCAACTTCCTATCCAGCTCTGTGGGAATAGACCAAGACAGGTCAGGGAAGAGCATATGGAGTGACTGGCCACAGATACTGCAAAGAAAGCTGAACTTAGCACGAAGGGGAGCAGAGGGTGACCCCCGTTCTAGATAAACGGTTGCATTAGTTGAGCGAAACAACCAGCTGTGTAACTGCTTGTTCTCAGGTTAATAAAAAAAGTCCAAATGCTTCCTGAGTTAGCCAGACCAGCTCTGGGGGGTCTGCGTGTGTACATGGCCTACGAAAATTGAACAACAAACAAAAAGAACTTGGAGAAGAGCAACAGGCTTGAGCTGGTTTCAACCCATACATTCCTTTTCAGCAGCTGGGAACGCCCAGTGAACATATTACAGCAAAGGGCAAGGAGAAACACATTTGTGAAGTGATTCAACGTTGTATTTCAGTTGCGTTACTCTGCTAAGTGTAATTTTCACTTGTATTGTCATTTAAGTACATAGTTGAATCAGGCCATGGGCTGGCATCCTGACCTGGCCTTGGCCTGTACCCATGGCCCCATCGAGTCATCCTAGGGCTATGTCTGACTCTGGTTACCTTCATGGGGCCCGATCCCACCCTGTGGACCTGCCTCATCACCATGAGCTGGTGACACCCCTGTCATGTCAGTCAGGTTGCTGGCCACGGGTCCCAGCTCCTGTCCCTTTGGGAGCACCTGGTCCTCCATGTTCCCTGACAGTAACTTCAGATAAGTAAATTTTGTACCAAACATGACACCTTCCACACATGGAGCATCTAAAGGAACCTGTTCAGAGAGGACTGGACTCTGAAATAGCCTCTTTAAACTACTGCTATGGACCTGGCAAGATGGGGAAGGGTCTGTATCACAACTCTGGTATTTTCGTGAGGATTAACGTAGTTCCTCACTGACATTCAATTCACTCTTGCCGTGTCCATCCTACTCCATCAGTTTCACCACGTTTTTGGGTACAGAAGACAAGTTAGAGGATGCATAGTGCTGATTTGATAGAATATTGACATACTTACTCTGAATTTAATCAAGGAAATATATATTATGCATATTTACTCTAATGAACAGAATACGTGAATATGACTTTGTTTTAATGTAACATACACATAATAGAAAGCTAGATGTAAATAATCTTGAATATTTAAACAGAATGTGCAGTAACTAAATATATTTCTAGTGACCAGGCAATACTGTGGGAAGTTAGCACAATCTTCAATAGGCAAACCATTTCCAATAAGGAGATCCGTACTGCCTTTTTTGTTTTTGCATATTTTGTAAATGCGAGGACTATGTATTTGATGGAAAAGATAGATAGTAAGAGAGGACTTGTTGGAAACTGTACCAGGGCAAGGGGAGGAGATTTTTAAAACAAGATGATGACATCTCTGAGCTCGTGCTTCTGTAAATTTGAAAAATCTGCATCCTCACTTCATGGTCATTACCTTACCCTCACTCCATTGCCACACTGGGTTTCAAAGTCATTCTTGGTACGATTTTAATTTACTGTGTTTTTCCCTCATAATCCATTCAGTTATCCTTGGACTGTATTTGTACCTGCACTGGTTTCCCTTGGGAGTTGCATATATGTTTGCTCTCCACACAGGCTCACCTCCTTGCATTGCAGCTACTGAACCTTTTAAGATATTACAGCCTGATGCAACAGCGAAAAGCAACGCTGATTTTTGGTTCACATTAAAGCACAGCCTATTCAAACCATGGCTGTTGATCTCTCAGAAACACCAGAACCACTCCTCAAGCAGAGATGACTTTCCAAAGAGAGGGAAGACAGGAGAGCTGAGGTGTCAGGATCCCTCCTGTTACGTGTTACCTCCATCCCAGGTACGTCAACGTTATATGCGAACCAGAGTCCTTTATTACCCACATATATCTTCATAACCCTGTGAACAGATTTTAGCATACCCTCGTGTTTTTGCTCACTTCCAAGAAATCCTTGGCAGGCCTGCCTCTGAAGCAGAAAGCAAAAAGGATGATCTTCCCCCTAATTTCCAGCTGCATTGGACTGACAACCGTACAAGATTAGATTATGTCTGCATGTGCAGGACCATTGCCTTGAATTAGTTTCTCTTTGTAGAACACAGGTTAAAACAGCCCTGAAGCTCTGCAACGAAGAATAGCTGTGTATTACACGTAGTTTCAGAAGTATTATATGGAAAATTGATCTTTTATAGATCTAATCACCAAACCAGTGTAAACCAGTGGGCATTGTAACCAATTGCTGTAGAAGGCACCAATTATTTCTAGTCACGTAAAGATTCACAGGTTTTAGGACACACATGCACACTGCTGCTGCTTTCTCATCTTCTACTGATTACACAAACAAGTAAAACAGCCAAAGTAACTATGTGAGGCACTTATTTTTCAAGTGTCTTTCTAGACAACAACATTGCCAATCCAAACAAAATACGAGAACACTATAAAAGAGAGAATTTCAAAATAAACAAGTCTGTTTATTTGCATTCTGTTCTTCAACCCTTAAAATGTATTGGATCATGTAGGCAAGCTGCATTTTGAAGCCACAAGAGTATTACAAAATATGTTTTATACATTAAAAAAATTTCACAGCTGAAGATCTCACAAAGTTCTCGATCTTACGTAGGTAAAAGAACTTGCCTAAGCTAAACTTTGGCTATTAGGAGAGTTGTGGTGATAACCAGGAGAATCAACATGTTCCAAAATCCTTCCTTCCCACACTGCTAGGGCTGAGCTTAGTGAGGTGGAGAACAGCCCTTCCTTCCCAAGCCACTAGGGCTAAGCCTAGCGAGGGAGGAGACACTGTCGTAGCTGCCACCACCAGTTCTCTGCCAGGGACAAAGACAAGTGCAACAAAATTCTTCTGTGACCGTTATCGAAAAGCCTGCCCATTTTGCCCTTGCAGAAACAGATACACCTTAGTCACTAGAATTTTCCATGTGTTCATCTAAAAGGAGGGTCTTTTAAATCTTTTCCTCTCTGATCTCTGCAAGCATCTTTGAAAAAGAACTTAAAAAGCAACAACCTTTCACAGCTGCATGATTTGTGTCTGCAACTGACTCATATATGAACCTTTTTTAGTCATTATTTTTTCCGAGAGGAATGTCAAATCAGTATGTTTGTTCATAAGAACAAGCACAAAAAAAACTTGTTTAGGAGTAATAGCAATATTACACCTTTCTTTCCACATTAAAAATCCTCTATTTTGATGACTGTACTGTAAAGGCTGGATATGTCCCTCTTAAGTCTCTGAAAGTATAAAGATGCTAAATTAAAGAACATTCTTAAACTTTTAAAAGAAATTATTAGTTAATCCACTAGTCCACGGCTAATATTGTAGTTCTGTTCTCCTCTACTTTTATTTATAACTAGGTAAGAGCAAGAAGTATTGGCCACCGGAGGCATGACTACAATAGTCACGGATATATTTTTACAAAACATAAATCTCTATGGGAGGACAGTGCTGTCAGCTGTAATGCTGTGACCCTGCCACTTTTATATAAAAGAGGTATTAGGGAATTGCACTAAGAATACTCAAACCCGTTCTCAAAAAACACCTAGAAGCTCACAGGAATACAGG